AGTGAAATCATTTGGTACTTGTCTTTCTCTGCCTGGCTTATTTCACTGAGCATAATACCCTCTAGCTCCATCCATGTTGTTGCAAATGGTAGGATTAGTTTTCTTATGGCTGAGTAATATTCCATTGTGTATATGTACCACATCTTCTTTATCCATTCATCTACTGATGGACACTTAGGTTGCTTCCATTCCTTGGCTATTGTAAATAGTGCTGTGATAAACATAGGGGTGCATATGTCTTTTTCAAACTGGGCTGCTGCATTCCTAGGGTAAATTCCTAGGAGTGGAATTCCTAAAAGTATGGAATGCTTCATGAATTCGCATGCCATCCTTGTGCAGGGGCCATGCTAATCTTCTCTGTATAGTTCCAATTTTAGTATATGTGCTGCCAAAGCGAGCACTCTCTAATTTTTAGTAAGAGCCACAGCATACTGTGGGACTCCTCCCTGTGTTAAAGTGGTAGCCATATAGACTGGACTTTATCATACCTGCACATTAGATACAGGACTTCATTAAAAATTCTAGGCATCAAGGAATTTAGGAAAAGAAACAACTTCAGGTTTTTTTGCTTTTTTTTCCTTTTCTCTGGTAAGAGAGAGACTCATTTGGATGAATTTGCTAGTGTGTTCAGTGTGAGCCGATGCTGGCCAGGCATGCTCCCCAGTCAGAATGTTACAATCTTTTCCCTTCTCATGGTCCCTGATGGGGCAAAATTTGTAGCTGGCTACAATAGGTAGGCTAGACTGTGAAGCATGATTGTGTGGGAAAACAACTGTGTAAATGATGAAACTTAATTTAGTCATAATTAAAAGAAATTAAGTTCAGAACCAAAATAAAAAAAAAACACAGTGAGGGGCCTTGAATGTGGAGAACTGCAGTAGCCATGTCTGCTGGTGGCCCCCCAGTGCCCGTGTCCGGCCTCCCCCACGTGTCCTCATGCACTTTAATCACGCCTGAGGGTTCTGGCCAGTGAGTGTTAGAGGGTCCAGTGCAGCCTCGGCCCCTGCGCTGTCCCAGAACCACTTCTGCCAGATGTAGACAGCGGTGACAGCTGTTTGTAGATGTGATTGTAAGCTCACCGGGAAATCATCTGGAGACCCAGCCCCGAGGAATGTGCGGCTGGGACTCCCAACGGTAAGGACATGTGTGGCCGTCCTCAGTGCCAGAGGGCCGACCTGGGGAGAGGAGCGGCTGGAGAGCTGGTGGAGAGAACCTCGACCTCAGCCCTGGGCCTGCTGCACTCCAGGCAGGAGTGGCTCGATGCCTGAGTCACTCCCTGTGGGGCGGCGCCATGCTCTGAGGAATCCTCCAGTGCTCAGCCGCGGCCTGGCTGCGCCACCTCCTGTGGGCAGGAGCGGGGAAGAAAGGGGATGCTCCACAGCCCAGCCCACCGCCCTGGCAGTACGGGTGGGTCACGGCAGCTCTGTGGTTTCTGTGCCTTCCCTGGGCCCAGCTCTTCTGTTCCAGAAACCCAGAAGGCCCCTGTCTGGGAGCCCCCTGCATTTTCACTTTCTACTCTTTTAAAATCTCCCTTTCCTTTCTCTCTTTCCTTCTACCTTTTTCTAAGGCCATGGCCGTAGCACCCATGGTCATCCCTTGGCTGGCTGGTAGCCCTCTGAGTGAAGATATGATTGGCCAGTCCCTGTAACTTGTAGCATGCCTGTAGACACACCTCATGATGGTAAATGTAGGCTCAACAGTGTAACGATACTGGCACCCCAGGGAAGAGAGAAGTATTTTAAACAAAGACACTGGGCGTGGTAGCAGCCAGCCTCTCCTGCATGGTGCTGTGTAACAAACTGCCCCAAGTCCCAAGTCGTTGGCTTGCAGCAGCGTTTTTCTTTCTCATGGGGAGCTCAGGGATGCTGTGTCTGCCTATGAGGTGGGGGGACTTGTCTCCAGGCTTTGGGTTCAGTTCAGGTTGGCTCCAGGTGTCTCATTTTGGGGCAGCAGCTTCACAGCATTGACGGGAGCTCAAGAGGAGGAGTTCAAATCTGTGAAGCCTCTTAGACCTCTGCTCAGAATCTGCATGTTGTCACTTCAGCGTTCCATCGGCCAAAACAAATCCCATGGCTCACCCCAAACTTTGGTGGGTGGGGGAGCCCGCCAGCCACACCAGTGCCCTGCTGCACGGCCACTTGACAGGGACGGAGCAGAGGATTGAGAACGTCACTCAGTCTTCTGTGTGGGTGCTCCTAAGTTACACCCAGAGACCCTGGTTGTGGTACGTGGGTTGGACTGCCGTGGAAAGTGATTCCTGGAGGCACAAGCAGCTCTGAGCAGTTCTGGTTGGTAGAAGCACTAAATGTAACATACATTAAAATCCACAGATATGTTTCCATTGTTGGTCTGGAACAGGATGGTTCCTGTCAGTTACAGGTGAGGGAGGCTCAGGTGGCTGAGCACTTTCCACAGTGACAGCCGACCCTTCCATCCGGACCTGCACGCCCGCGGGCAGCCTGCTGCCCTTTGCAGCCCACTCCTCTAAGCATCTACTTAAAGTTTCAAAGGTATTTTAAAGCTTGCCGTCTGAAGTGGTTGGCCAAGAAAACACCAAAAATTTTGAGACAACTGTTAGCGATCCTTAGTGACAATGAAGAGAAGAAAGTTTATAGCTCATCCACAAAGAATCAGAAGGGTGGTACCTTTTGGGAACTGGAGCCCGCGAGATGCTGTGTACCACAGTGGTTGTGCCTGTAAGACTCAAAAGATGCAAAGGTGGTTTCAGTCCAACAGTGAAATGATTTATGTCTTTCAGACTGAGGAGTGGCCATTGTGGTGAGGATTGATTTTTGTAGGGAATATCACCCATAAAGAGCCATAAATAAAATGCTCTATTGTTTGGAAAACATTCCCAATCTGCTGTCCTTTAACTGAGAAGCCCATATTGCTCAGAGAAACAATAAAATGTGTTCTTTTGGCCAAACATGACAAAGGAAATAAGGAGATGAATACTTCTTGGAAGGCTAGGTATTCCCGTGTGGAAAGGGATAAAAAATATAATTGGTTGGTCTGAAAGCTGCCGCTTAGGAGGAATGCAGGGAGGAGCCACAAAGCTGACAAAACCACGGCCCAAATAACCCCCTGAGGCAGGCACTCCGGCATCTGGGCCGGGGGCCTGCGTTCCCCGCTGCAGCCCCTCGTGCTCCCCGGGCTGCCTCCTAGGCCCCCAGTCCCCTTGCTGTCGGAGCGCATGAGCTCTGGTTCTCCCTGGCTTGGTCCCCACCGCACAGCTTGCCTTGGAAGCTTCTCTCCCTGCCAGGAGCCAGTTTTCCACCCTTGGTTGTCCCTGGCATCCTCAGCCCAGCTGGAATCTCACCCCCACCCTGCCCAAATCAATACCCAAGGCACTTGACGTGTCCAGTCATGACAGCTGTTCTGAGGAGAAACTTTTGAGGCCAGCACCGCTACCTCTTTCCTAATTTAATGAATGTTGACGAAGCAAACGGATTATTATTGTTACCATTAGAATCAGTGCACGTTGCCATAAAAGTCCTCAAATGTCTAAAGTTGAGGAACTGTCTAGGGGAGTGGGGAAAAATTTCCTCAAGGAGGCTCCATTTGAACTGGGTCATTGTGGATAAGTAGGAGTTCACCAGGCTCCAAAGGTAGGGAACAGTAATAGGCAGAAGGAACAGCACTTACAAAGTCCACACCAGAGTCAAAGGAAAAGTATAACATTTTATAGGCTTTCAGAGCAGGGGGAAAAATACATTCCCATCTCGGCCCTTGTGGCAATGGGGTTTGATCTCAGCATGATGAATGCCTGGGGAAATGAAGCAGTAACCAATTCTTTAGTTCCATAAACATTTATCAGTTGGGCGCCGCTACATCTGGGCATTGTGCTGGGTTACCAGAGTGCTGGGAAATACAAAGACGGACCCAAGAAAGTCCCTTCCCCTTGAAGCGCATCGTGTACTTACACTGATGGATGTACCCCAACCTCATTACCCCAGGCCCTACCCAGATGTATTCAGCATGAGCTCCTGTAGCATTTCCAAGCGAATAATGGGCTAGAGACTGGCCAGCGAAGGAGTTGGCAGGATGGGTGGAACAGACACTAGGTTATGTGGGGAATCTTTTGAATGGGGACTAATTCTGTAAGTGGGCAGTTTGTTAAATGATTTTTTCATATTCCTGATGCAACCCTGTCACCTGAGGGGATGTGTGTCATCCATATGATGATTGGCCAGTCCCTGTAACTTGTAGCATGCCTGTAGACACACCTCATGATGGTAAATGTAGGCTCAACAGTGTAACGATACTGGCACCCCAGGGAAGAGAGAAGTATTTTAAACAAAGACACTGGGCGTGGTAGCAGCCAGCCTCTCCTGCATGGTGCTGTGTAACAAACTGCCCCAAGTCCCAAGTCGTTGGCTTGCAGCAGCGTTTTTCTTTCTCATGGGGAGCTCAGGGATGCTGTGTCTGCCTATGAGGTGGGGGGACTTGTCTCCAGGCTTTGGGTTCAGTTCAGGTTGGCTCCAGGTGTCTCATTTTGGGGCAGCAGCTTCACAGCATTGACGGGAGCTCAGGAGGAGGAGTTCAAATCTGTGAAGCCTCTTAGACCTCTGCTCAGAATGTGCATGTTGTCACTTCAGCGTTCCATCGGCCAAAACAAATCCCATGGCTCACCCCAAACTTTGGTGGGTGGGGGAGCCCGCCAGCCACACCAGTGCCCTGCTGCACGGCCACTTGACAGGGACGGAGCAGAGGATTGAGAACGTCACTCAGTCTTCTGTGTGGGTGCTCCTAAGTTACACCCAGAGACCCTGGTTGTGGTACGTGGGTTGGACTGCCGTGGAAAGTGATTCCTGGAGGCACAAGCAGCTCTGAGCAGTTCTGGTTGGTAGAAGCACTAAATGTAACATACATTAAAATCCACAGATATGTTTCCATTGTTGGTCTGGAACAGGATGGTTCCTGTCAGTTACAGGTGAGGGAGGCTCAGGTGGCTGAGCACTTTCCACAGTGACAGCCGACCCTTCCATCCGGACCTGCACGCCCGCGGGCAGCCTGCTGCCCTTTGCAGCCCACTCCTCTAAGCATCTACTTAAAGTTTCAAAGGTATTTTAAAGCTTGCCGTCTGAAGTGGTTGGCCAAGAAAACACCAAAAATTTTGAGACAACTGTTAGCGATCCTTAGTGACAATGAAGAGAAGAAAGTTTATAGCTCATCCACAAAGAATCAGAAGGGTGGTACCTTTTGGGAACTGGAGCCCGCGAGATGCTGTGTACCACAGTGGTTGTGCCTGTAAGACTCAAAAGATGCAAAGGTGGTTTCAGTCCAACAGTGAAATGATTTATGTCTTTCAGACTGAGGAGTGGCCATTGTGGTGAGGATTGATTTTTGTAGGGAATATCACCCATAAAGAGCCATAAATAAAATGCTCTATTGTTTGGAAAACATTCCCAATCTGCTGTCCTTTAACTGAGAAGCCCATATTGCTCAGAGAAACAATAAAATGTGTTCTTTTGGCCAAACATGACAAAGGAAATAAGGAGATGAATACTTCTTGGAAGGCTAGGTATTCCCGTGTGGAAAGGGATAAAAAATATAATTGGTTGGTCTGAAAGCTGCCGCTTAGGAGGAATGCAGGGAGGAGCCACAAAGCTGACAAAACCACGGCCCAAATAACCCCCTGAGGCAGGCACTCCGGCATCTGGGCCGGGGGCCTGCGTTCCCCGCTGCAGCCCCTCGTGCTCCCCGGGCTGCCTCCTAGGCCCCCAGTCCCCTTGCTGTCGGAGCGCATGAGCTCTGGTTCTCCCTGGCTTGGTCCCCACCGCACAGCTTGCCTTGGAAGCTTCTCTCCCTGCCAGGAGCCAGTTTTCCACCCTTGGTTGTCCCTGGCATCCTCAGCCCAGCTGGAATCTCACCCCCACCCTGCCCAAATCAATACCCAAGGCACTTGACGTGTCCAGTCATGACAGCTGTTCTGAGGAGAAACTTTTGAGGCCAGCACCGCTACCTCTTTCCTAATTTAATGAATGTTGACGAAGCAAACGGATTATTATTGTTACCATTAGAATCAGTGCATGTTGCCATAAAAGTCCTCAAATGTCTAAAGTTGAGGAACTGTCTAGGGGAGTGGGGAAAAATTTCCTCAAGGAGGCTCCATTTGAACTGGGTCATTGTGGATAAGTAGGAGTTCACCAGGCTCCAAAGGTAGGGAACAGCAATAGGCAGAAGGAACAGCACTTACAAAGTCCACACCAGAGTCAAAGGAAAAGTATAACATTTTATAGGCTTTCAGAGCAGGGGGAAAAATACATTCCCATCTCGGCCCTTGTGGCAATGGGGTTTGATCTCAGCATGATGAATGCCTGGGGAAATGAAGCAGTAACCAATTCTTTAGTTCCATAAACATTTATCAGTTGGGCGCTGCTACATCTGGGCATTGTGCTGGGTTACCAGAGTGCTGGGAAATACAAAGACGGACCCAAGAAAGTCCCTTCCCCTTGAAGCGCATCGTGTACTTACACTGATGGATGTACCCCAACCTCATTACCCCAGGCCCTACCCAGATGTATTCAGCATGAGCTCCTGTAGCATTTCCAAGCGAATAATGGGCTAGAGACTGGCCAGCGAAGGAGTTGGCAGGATGGGTGGAACAGACACTAGGTTATGTGGGGAATCTTTTGAATGGGGACTAATTCTGTAAGTGGGCAGTTTGTTAAATGATTTTTTCATATTCCTGATGCAACCCTGTCACCTGAGGGGATGTGTGTCATCCATATGAGGATCATGGGACTTCCTGTATTTCTGATCATGGCTGTTTACAAAAATGCAGCCAGAGACCTGAGTCAGAGTGGCCTGTAGGGATGGAAGTGGAAGGGATGTTTTATTTGGCTCACCGTGGAGGGGGCTGCATGGCGCTCGTCCCTGAGTGCCCCCCACCCCGCCCACTGGCTTGGCCCCCTGCGCTGACGGCTCTGCCGGCCCCTCTCTCCCCAGGTATGGAGAGTGCAATCACGCTGTGGCAGTTCCTCTTGCAGTTGCTCCTGGACCAGAAGCACGAGCATCTTATCTGCTGGACCTCCAACGATGGTGAATTCAAGCTCCTCAAAGCAGAGGAAGTGGCCAAACTGTGGGGACTCCGAAAAAACAAAACGAACATGAACTATGATAAGCTGAGCAGAGCCCTGCGATACTATTATGACAAGGTAAACCCTGCCCGACCTCACCTGAGAGTGTCTGGGGGAGGTGGGGCGCCACCTGCATGTTGCCCTGGTGAAAGCAGGTAACTGTGCTATGGAGCAAACTGGAAAAATCAAAGAGGCAGACAATTTATGTTTTTTCTTTTTTTTTTGAGAAGACCTGTGCTATAGAGGGTTTTTTTTTCTTTCTGGAAGCCCTTTGGGTGTGACTGTGGGTCAGATTGTGTTCCCTCCACATTTTCCTCTGTTGTTTCTGCAGAACTTTGCCAACAACAGGAATGAGATGTAGGGAGGCCCTGGGGCTTCCTCCTGGTTAGCTGTTTGAGTGACAGATGAACGTGGTCAACTCTAGAAAGTCTGTTTGTCCTTGTGGTTTGTAGTGCACTCATGGGCCTTTCTGGGGAATGTGGCAGCTTGGGTAGTTGGTGAACAACTTGGCGTCCACGTTAATGAACTGGGCATCATGAGAGTAGCATCTCGGGACTGGTGTGAAGACTTAGGGAAACTTCCCTAATTGAAAGAAAAGCCATTTCCCCATTTGAGTCAGAGCGCTTTGTTAAGTGATAACACAGCACAGCTGCTAGTGCTGGGAGAGTTGGGGTGAGTTTCAGTGCATCTCTGGAAAAGCAGTTAATGTGCCTGCTAGGGCGAAATTATTGTTTAGGGGTAATCATTTCAGGCCTGTCCCTGTTGACCATTTTTCTGTGTGGACCTGTTGTTGCTGACAATTTGGCCTCATAGACATAAAGACTTTAGAGTCCCAATAAGGGTAAACTTTTGTTCTGGTTTTACTCTTCATATTGAAAGATGAACTAAAAACTGATTTAAATATTCATTCCTGGTCTATATTTAGTGCCTTCCTTCTGCCAACCTCTTTGGAATTCAAGACAGAAGGATTACACATTTCAGGAAGTGGAGGCATCATTAATTATAAAGTGTTCCTTTATATGATCGTAATTGCATATGATTATGTCATTGAAATGTTAAAGGTGCTTTCCTTTACTGTGGCAGTTAATTAATCCTGGCTCATGCAGAGGCCTACCAAGATGGGAAAGCACTTCTTGCAAATGGCACAGTCCGAAAGCCTTGCAGATGGCTTACTGTTTTGCCTCCTTCCCCAGGTTCTAAGTTACACAATGGGAATTGGGGCCCTCTGACGGAAAACAGTCATCTTGTCTGCTGGCACGGCGCCTAAAAGCATGGGTTTGAGACTAAAGAAAAAAATAATTTCATTGTTTTAAATCAAGTGTGAAAGAAAAGGAGTCCTGCCTCCGTGTCTGTGACACGGCTTCACCTCTTTCTGTGGCCTGAGCACTCGGCTGAGAATTGTGTCCTCAGCACGAAGGGAGGGGACGGCTGGAAACTGCCCCTCAGAGGACTGGCCTGGTCACTGCTGTTTATGCTACACCTGATCGCCCTTGGCTGACTTCTCAACCCCTTGGAAAGGAGCTGCCGGGCATTCTGTCACCCGGCATGTTTGGTACTGGCTGTGTGTAAGGCACGGTGTAAGGCACGGTGCTGAGCGCTTTCTACCTATGTGCCCTTTAATGACAGCAGTCCCGTGAGACAGCCCTGCCGGCACATTCTCCTTTTACAGATGAGGACAGGAGGGCTTTAGTGAGAAACCTGCCAGCGCCTGGGTCATCTGCCCACATTCCTGGCCCAGAGGCACACACCCTGCCTTCTGGGCTGTTCACTTCCTTTGCCTTGAACACTTGAGTTCCAGGTGGGCAGTCAGGCAGTGTGGAGGTTATTGCAACCTCAGGAATTTTTGTTTATTATCAAACACTTCCATACTGATAAGCCCTGGCTGTGCTGTGCGTCCAGTTGAGCCCAGGGCCCCAGGGTCCCAGCGGCTGGGGTGCCTGGCCTTTCCTGCTGGGGCTGAGCTTGAGGTCTGGCCAGGTAACCGTTGAGCAGGCAGCTGGTGCTGGCAGTGAGGGCAGGCACAGCTCTTGTCCAACGTGTCACGCAGGCTTGGCCACCTGGAGAACAAGCTGTGTCCTTCCTTCCATGTGTGCACACAGTATCCACAGTGTGTGTGTGTACGCAATATGTGTGCATACATGGTGGTTCGGTGTCTCCTAAACTGTTCTCAAGATATGAGAGAATGACCATGAGACTTCTGATAGAGTTTAAAGTGAAAAGAGGTGGGGGAGGAGGATGACGAAGAGGGGAGGGGGTGATTGGGGGTGAGAGAGAGGAAGCAGGAAGGGCAATGGCAAAAGGCAGCTACAAAAATCGTACTCGGTTTTGGTTTTCTGCTTTATGATGAACTCGTCTTTCGACTTTGCCAGTGGTACTCTCTGACTGTATGTATGAGATGAATCTCATGAAATTGCCAATGTCTGACCATTACTCGCCCACCAAAGTGGCGATCTTCAGTGGTTTGGTCTCTAACCTGAGAAACAGATAGTTGAGGACCCTCTGGACGTGAAGCTCCAGGCCACATGGGCACCTCTTGGTGGGCCCCGTCCCCTACCCCACGTGCCTTTCAGCTTGCCCAGCACTCCGTGTGACCCTGTCCGCCTCTCAGTGTCCCTGTCCTCCCCGCCTCCCCACTGACACTTAGCAGAGCCTGCTCTGCACATGGCATGAATTAGGTGACCCCGTACCCTGATGGCCGCCCTCTTCATTCCTTTGTCTTTCTGTCCTTTGCAAGCCATCCTTTCTTCACTGTTGACTGAAATTGCATATCCCTTTGGTTTTGTCCTAATAGGGAGGTTTTCCTGTCAGAGTGGACAGGCATGAGGATATCATTATTTTGATATGTTTTATATTTTTAGCTCATTCCAGAATATTAGAAATGGACAGTGGAAAAAAAGTAGAAAACGCATGCAAAACCATACAGAAGGAATCGGAGCAGAATAGCGCGTAAGGGCTAATGGCATCAGTTTGTCCTTCACAATGCCCCCTCCCCCCACCAGTCATCATAGTGAGGTGGTTAACAGCATGATCTCTGGCTTAGAGTGTCTGGGATTGAATCCAGCTCCATGACTGAGTGCTTTGCCTAGTCTCTCTTGGTCTCAGCTTCTTTTTCTGTAAAATGAGTTTACGCAATAGTGAGCCTCCATCAGGGGGTTGTGGTGGAGATTAGCTGAATTAACACATGCTTGGTGCTGAGAACGGTGCCCAAAACACATTAGATGCTACAAAGTATTAGCCGGAGTAATAATACAGATAATATTTTCCTTATCATTCATTTGAAAAATTCAGACAGGTGCAAAGAAGAAAATTAGGACCTTTGTGCTCCCTTCTGGCACAAGTATGCACAAAAGTAAGGGATGCCAGGTTCTGCGTATAGTGGCTCATGTCACCTGTCAGCTCACAGGAGGGCTCTGGTGTGCTTTTTAATGAGTGAGGATGGGTGACCACAGTCTCTTTACCCAGTTGCCTATTTGTATGTACTTAAGACTGTTCTGAAAATTAAACAGGCGCCTTCACGTTTGACACTTCTCTCCCCTCTGAATCAAAGTGCATACTCCTGTGCACCCCTCCTCTGGTGGGGTCTGTGTCTGAGTACAGGGAGTTTGCGTGCAGCACTGCCCCGGCTAGAGGCCAGCTGTCCCCTGGTCTCCGCATCTCAGTTCACCCATCGGAAGGTGGACATCGTAATAGCACCTTCCTTCTTCAGATAGCATGAGGATTAAATGCAACCATGTGTACGAGGAGCTCAGCACAGGGTCAGGCCCCTGGCAAATGCTGTCGTTTCTGTTATCGGTGTCTGTAGAGCTTCCTGTGTTGCCACAGTCATCTGTTTCTATGGTTGTCCTCCTCACAAAATGGTCTTCACCATGGTCTCCTGGCTTACCTGCTCTGTTGCCCTGCACCTTGCACAAGGTCCGGCACATACTAGTTGCTCACTAAATGTTGAATGAATGAGCAATTGGGTGACATAATGAAGGGACACTACCCAAATACAAATCATGTATATAATGAAAGCTGAGATATTAGATGAGTGTTACACTTAAAAACAAAGTCCCCACCTTTTGCTTGTTGTACATTAGTGTCTTAGAGCTGCTGTAACAAATTACTGCAAAATGGGTGGCCTAAAACAGTGGAAGTGTATTGTCTCCTAGTTCTGGAGGCCAGCCTGAGATCAAGGTGTCAGCAGGGCCATGCTCCCTCTGAGACTGAGCAAACTCCTCCCTTGCGTCTCCCCAGCTGGTGGCGGCGGCTGGGGCTCCTTGGCGTTCCTTGGCTTAACAGCTGCATCGCTCCCGTCTCTGCCTCTGTGGTCGCATGATGTTCTCCCTGTGTGTCTCTGTGTCCACATTTCTTTCTTATAAGGACACCAGTTCTTTGGGACTAGGGACCACCCTAGTGATCTCATCTTCAATCATCTACATCTGCAAAGACCCTATTTCCAAATGAGGTCACATTCACAAGGACCGGGGGTTAAGATTTCAACATTTCTTTTTGGGGAACATACATCAACCCACCATGTATTCCCGACATTGCTGGGCTTTCACTTAGATTTTCAGAATCACACACAAAGGGAGAGCCTTGAAGGTGACGGTTTGAGTCAGCCTCCTAAAGGACAGCCAGCCGCTCCCCATGACACGGGCCGCACCTAGATTCCACAGCAGGTGTGGAGCTGGATTCCCTGACAGGTTCGTCATGAGGTGCCCACCCCAGGCCTGGCGCCACGCTGGGGCCCTGGGAGGAAGCAGGTGGAGGAGACGAGTGCTGCCTTGGAGGGGTTCAGTCTTTGGGATTTCGGCAGTACCGTGCACAATTTTAATAAATGACTTCAGTGGGAAGAGAAGCCACTGCTGAAGGTGCCATTCCTGGATTAGCAATGCAGCGACCCGGGACATGTGGTCCCCCGCTCTGTCGGTGTGGCTGTGGATTGCCCGTTACACGTGCAGGGGAGGCTGCGGGGCTGGGGGTTTGCAACTGAGCACTGCCCAGGACCTGCTTCCCCCACTTACAGCTTTTGAAGAAGCTTTTGAAGTAGAATTCCGGGGAAGGAGTGTTGCCCAGGCTGGAATGAAGCATATTTT